CCCTGAGCCGGTGAGATTTGAACCGCTGAACTGCTGATCTAGCAGTAGCCTGCAGTGCTGCATTTAACCACTGCGCCACCTTGGCTCATAACATGCATACAAAGTGCCTACTTCTGCCTTTTTTAAGGTGAAATGTGGACCAGATTTGTTTATTTTTAACAAGAGTTCCTTGTTTTATGAAAGATGGACGTGCTATCTGATTTCCAATGTGCACATAGCATTTCACCCAAACAGTTTAGTAAATTGTCACAACTATAGATTCTGGTTTGTCAATCCCAACAATAACATCTCAGAATATATAAATTGGTTGAATCTGGTTTAGAAGGAGCACACTAAGCCAGGAATTTTAATTTAAAAAAAAAAAACAGAAAAAGTTTTTGTTCAATGTGTTGAGTCAGGTCATCTATCTTATCTAGCATGTTTGCCAGTCAGTCAAAATCTGACGTACATAACTTCATCACTCGATCTCTGAGATACACCCTTTTTCTTCTAAAACAAGATCATTTTAAAAAGTGTGTGTGTGTGAGAGAGAGAGAGGGAGAGAGAGAGAGAGAGAGAGAATGGGAATATTTTAATTTCCAATTAACCTGAATTCTTTCCTTCAGAAAAGGGATAAACAGTAAAATGAGAATGCATGACCTATTTGTTGAAGGAAATTCTCAAAAATGTCATTAGAATAATGCAAGAACAATTTTAACGTTCCTAATAAAGTTAGTTTTTTTCTTTTAACCTTAATAATTCTTCCTTATTTCCCAATTGCAGCCATTATTGTATACAGGTTACCATGGACCTGGAAATGCAGCAAATTTTTGATGAAATTAATCCATGCGGGGTTACATACCGTTGCTCTGACACTTGCTATTATTTCCCTGGTGGCTGTTTTTGATTTCCATAATTTTAAGAAGATTCCTAACATGTACAGTCTACACAGTTGGATTGGATTGACTGCCGTAATTCTTTATGCTCTACAGGTTAGATATCATTTATAAAGTATACTTAAAAACAGAATAAGATTATTTTAACTTCAATTAAAAATGTGCTGTGTGTACATTAATTTTAACAAGGGATTTTGTATTTTGCAGTTCTTAGACATAAACCTTACAACTCGATAAATTAACCTTTGTCAAATGGAGGCGAATATACATGTCCCAGGATAATGTTGTAGGATCCAATCTGGGTGGTCACCAGCACTGAAGTTTTGTCTTCCAAGTTTAAGACTTGTGCTGGAGCCTCTAGAGAGAAATTCCCTGAAGATGGGCTCCAGCACAAGCCCGAAAGCTCAGAAGACAAAATGTCGGTCGCAGTGACTAACCCACATTGGATGCTTCATTAATCTTTGTGTTCATTGTAAACAAAATAAGAGATATAAGGTATTTTAACTTTAAGCAATTGGCATTCTGCTGCAGAAATCTGTCCAGGAGCTTAGCTTCTTAAAAAATATGATAAGGAACAAATTATTTGCCAAGAAACTAAGCCAGCATAAGTGTTGTGAGACAATCTTTCTCACAAGAGGTAAATTTAAAAAGATATTATACACCACGTTTTGTGGATTCAGTAGTCTCTGAAAACATTCTTTCTATTTTGAGTACTTTTAGTAAGGAACTTTTTGATTCTCCAGCTTTTATTAAATTTTTGAGAATGCTGCTCTTTCTATATTCAGAAGTGTTTCATTTTACCACCTTTGTAAAGTGTCTTTCATATACTGTAATTTTTACAGAGTATCCTAGAAATACATTCAGAATTTCTTGTTTTTAATAGTAGGGAAGGAAATGTATATTGTTTAATGTAAAATTTTAATATATACATTGGGGAAGCCGTTGCTCTCTAGAAGAGCTCCATGGTAATGGTGAGGAATGTAGTTTACGGTAGTTCAACAGAATTTGGGGATCCAAACATCCTTACTTCTTCCCTAAATCCACTTAGAGAAGAGGATAGGATCCAAAAGGATGATTGCAGTTTTGAGCAGTTTGACCCAATAAGCAACTAATTGCTCACTGTAGTAGAAAGCACACATTTTTAAAAGGTGGCAAAAGATTTGGCATTGGTAGCCACTCCCAAGTTTCAGGATTGTGGCCCAAGACCACAAATTTAATGGCAGTATTTTAGAGAGTTTCTATTCTGATTCTGTGGCTTGTAAGATGCAAGATTTTGCAGCCTGGCGTATCAAAATAATACACACAGGCTATTCAATTTTTTTTATATTTATCTGTACTTCATGCCAAATGTGTTAAGATAAATGAAAGAAATAGGAAATAAAAGAAATGAAAGTAATATCAAGATCATTTTTAAATAATAATAATAAAAAGAAGAAGAAATAGCCTCTGCTCTTTCTGTTTAGATCAGCCATAGGATTCTTGGCCTTTTAGAAGAGTATAAAGACCAGGCTCTGCCAACTGCCCCTAGGGTCCAAGAATGCTATGCAATTCTGCGTGTGGGGCGGGGGGAGGTTAGGTTTGATGAGCTGAAGGTTCTCCCTCTGCCTTTTAGCTTACATACCATATTTTTCAGACTATAAGACACACTGGAATATAAGACACACCAAGATTTTGAAGAGGTAATTTTTTTAAAAAAATGTTTTTGCCCTCCCCGGACCCCAGGAGCACTCTGTAGGCCTCCCAAACCCTCTGCACATCTCATTTTTTGTGAAAAGAGGGCATACAGATAGTTTGAGAAGCCTGCAAAGTGCTACTGGGGGCGGGGGAGGGCAAAAATGCAATGTGGGGGGGGTTGGGTGGTGAAAAATGGACCTGTTTTTCGCAAAAACGGGGCGTGCAGAGGGTGTGAGGCCTGTAGAGTGCTCCTGGAGGCTGGAGAGGCCAAAAAACTATTTAACAATGGCCGGCGTGCAGAGAGTTTGGAAGGCCTGCAGAGTGCTCCTGGGGCTTGGGAGGGCAAGAACAGCCCAGTTTTTGTAAAAAACAGGACCATTTTTCACTCGGTTTTGCCCTCCCCAGCCCCAGAAGCACTTTGCAGGCCTCCCAAACCCTCTCTGTGTCCGTTTTTGCTAAAACCTGGATGTGTGGGATAGGGTTTTGGGAGGCCAAAAATGCTGTATTCAGTGTATAAGACGCACCCAGATTTTCAGCCTCTTTTGGGGGAGGGGGGAAAGGTATGTCTTATACTCGCAAAATACGGTAGTTTTCCTTTTTAACTTCATTTTAATTGGCTTTTAGCTTGTTTTTAACTATAGCTTTTATATCATCATGTGATGAATGGTATAAAATATCCCGATAGGTCTTCAAAGATTTCAGGAGATAATTTAGGAATCAAATTTGGCACTGCCCCATAAAGATTTATTTTCATGCTTGTTTTTCAAATAATGGATACTGTTGCCATTTACTAAGTGTTATCTGTGTATCAGCTTGTTTTAGGCTATATGGTCTACCTACTTCCCTTTGCCCCAACTTCTCTCCGGACAGCTGTTATGCCAATACACACATATTCAGGTCTTCTCATCTTTGGAGCAGGAATTGCCACAGCCCTAATGGGAATTACAGAAAAACTTTTTTTTGCTCTGTAAGTATTTATTTGCATGTCACTAATTTTTTTTTACAATAACATTTACTAATTGAGCATTGTTAATTTGTTTCCTTAATTTTAACTTTTTTTTCCCCAGAACGGAAAAAACAGTCCCCTATAGCCAGTCCCCAAAAGAAGCTATTTTTGTCAATGTTCTGGGTGTCCTGATTGTCGCCTATGGGGCTGTAATTTTGTGGATAGCTACAAGGCCTCATTGGAAGCGCCCACTCGAACACGTTTTCGTAACCCATCAAAGAATTGGAGAAGGATTCGGTGAAGATGACTGTCATAGTCCAGATTTGGAATTCAACAGTGATGCAGCTGCTAGGAAAAGAAACCCCAAATCTGATGAAACTGGACAGAGATCAACTATGTAAAGAAAGTATATAGCAAAATTTGCAATGAAGAAAACTCACTCTCCCTTATTCTCTCCCAGCTCTTTGACACACTATACTTTGCTTTATTAATATTGTTAGAATTTCCTGAATAAATGAGAAGAGTTAGTAAAGAGTTTAATTTTAGAAGTATCTATTTTCATATGATGCCACTATGGTAACTTGTACTGTATTTCTTGATAATTTTGAAAAACAAAATCTGGAATTATAACCAGGTCAACTACAATAAACGCTTTTTCATTGATTTTGACTGATGGAAGTACAAGATGAACAATTAGATTTCAGATATTGGAAGAAAGTTATGAGAAAGGGAGGACTCCATTGAATAAAATGGCTAAAATCCTTGATATTTTTTTAATGTTGTTCAAACTTGTTTCCATAACACTATGGAACTACTGGCCATCTTGGAAAGCTGAATGATTGATTCCACAATTCATTCTTTTTCATTTTTTCTTGATTTCTGATGTTGCCTTCCATTGGCACTGGAGAACTATATGTTTTGCAGTTCAATATTATGATTATGGTGGCCAGAGAGAGAAGGGAGAGGCAAAGCAGGTGGTTGTGTGGATGATAATTTGATTACCCTGTGTAGCTTCTTTTTTCACATAGGTGCCAGCTTCTCATACAAGCACATCATCTGGTATCACAACAGTCTCAGACATTATTGCTATAAGGTAATCATTGTTTTTGCACAACCACATTTAAATGAATATTGGCTTTATACAGTAACTCCATTATTTGGAATAGATACTGTGTTGGAGTGTTTACAGTTTGTTCAGATTATAAAGCAATGTAATCTTGACTTGACTAGACTAGACTAGACTAGACTAGACTAGACTAGACTGGAAGGGACCTTGGAGGTTATTTAGTCCAGCCCTTTGTTCAAGCAGGAGAACCTGTACTATTTCAGATAAGTGACTGTCTAGGCCAGGGGTATCAAACTTGCGTTGACACAGTGCTATCATGTGACATATCACGACTTTTATCTCCTTCGCTGAATTAGGCGCGTGTAGCCAGCGCATGCCACATCCGAGCTGTGAGTTTGACATCCCTGGTCTAGACTCTTCTTAAAAACATCCAGTGATGCAATGCCCATGATTTCTGGAGGCAAGCTGTTCCACTGCTTAATTGTCCTCACTGTTGGGAAGTTTCTCTAGACCTAACTAAATTAAAGCTGTGTGGCTCTAAACACTTACTCTTAAAGAATGCCATTTCAACATATACATTCAGGAGTTTTGCAGGGGAGGAAATGATTTTTTCTTGGGCAATATATGGCCAACATTGTGTATATTTGGCAAAGAGCAAGCATTCTCTCTGATCTCATTTTCCTTAATGAACAAGTGAAGCTGTTGCATTCTTTTAAATTGATGGCGGTTACTACCTATTTCGATAAGCTACTTATTTTTAGGAGGAGGAAGAACATTTTCTTTATTTTACGCATAGAATTCAACAAGCTTTCTTCAGAAAAACTATAGAGTATTGAAAGTAATCAGGACATTCAATCTCCATTTTATGAGATGATGCTGTGTTTTAGGATTGTCCAATTTTTCCAAGGGCATTTAACACAGGCTTATTTATATAGAGGATTCATGGCATTTTATTTATGCTCTTCATAACTTTATTTAGAAATTATTGAAGTTAAAAATGCCATCTACTTTTACTTTAACAATAAAAAACTGTCTGGACCAGAGGTATCAAATTCAAGAACTGTGGGATTGATCTGGCCCATGGGATGTTTAGATCTGGCCCATCCTGGAAACAGTGAAGGACCAGCCCGTGGTGTCTCTGCCAGCTCTGTTTTTGCTGGCAGTGGGTTGCAGAAGGCCATCACAGCCAAAATGGAGCTTGGGAGGGGCGCTTTCGCTGGCAGAGTGCTCAGGCCACCACAGGCACCCTCAACACGAATGACGTTGAGTTGGCCATGCCTACCCTGGTCCCGAGGTCAAAAACAACCCTGATCCGGCCCTCAAAGAAATTGAGTTTGACACCCCTGAGCTAGACTTGGTGGAACCCTTTAGTTATTGTTATAGAGTATGTTATACAAAATAAAAGATGAAACTTAATCTTATTCTAGGCAATATTGAGAAAATATGTTCAGCACATCCGTGATTACGTTTTGAAAAGACCATCTAAAAGTATATTTGGACACTATGGCATGAAGTACAATATGTAATTGGACTTTAGGAAAGCTAATCCGATTTTTGAATTATCACCGCAGCTCATTTGGAGAAAAGATCAAAACGGCAGCAAACGGAGAGCCTTTTAAACAGTACTCTTTTCTCAATACTTTTAACTGACTTCCCAAATCGGTTTGGCTTTCACTCTAATTTGTTATGTAAATTAAAACATTCATTCTAGTGACATCTCAGAAAATTACTTCGTTTCTGAAAGAAAACAAGAAGATATTTCATGTCAGTGTCCTTATCTTGACTTGCTTGCTATTGTGGACAGGAAAAGAAAGTGAGCAGTCAACTTTCTGTGCCAGAAATTGTCTTTTCTATCCTGATTTGCTGCTGGTTGCAGTGTTACTGTGAGCCATTATAAGAATGATCTTGGGAAACAGTGGCCCTTCCTCAGACTTGCTTTTCGGACAAGTTGGGATTGCAACTTCCAGAATGAAGGATAATGAGTTGATATCTCAATATTAGGTAAGAACTGCTGTACTGTAGATGATAAGCCCCATCCCAAACATCTTCATAGCCATTTTCTATGATAACAGCTTTAGAGAACCCAAAGGCTCTCAGCATATTAGCCTGAATGCTCAGTAGGGTAACAGTAGAAGATATTAAAACTTGGCAAACACCGATCTCTATAGAAGGCAATGGGAAAGAAGAATGTGCATTATGATAGCCTTTATATTTTGAAATTTTAAACTAACATAGCGGAATTATGGACACCAAAGATTGTCTTGTGGACATCGTAAAATTGCCAAGGCTGAGAAACACGAGTTTTCTATATCAGCAGCTGTATGTGATCCACATTTCTAAAAAAAATGTATTCTGAACTATATATTTGAATATGTGGGATCGGTAGTACTTTGTAAAGTAAAAATTTTGTAACTATTTTTATATTACAATAAAAGCTGTTTGAAGAATTTACAGTGTTCTGTGCTAGTAACAATTGCTGTAACCGTATGCTGATTTGAAATAGAAGGTGGAAATTGCAGAGGGTGAGTGACAAGCATTTTTTTCTCTGTTCGAATAAGTGGCAATTCCTTCTTATCTGATATTATTAAGATGTATTGATTCCTGAGCCTCTGAGTTGATTTTGAGGATAAACAAAGGGAGAACTCTGTTACACTAAGAGTTTACTCGGGCAAGGTTGGATTTTTGTCCTAGATCTAGAATTACAAATGTTTCAGCTGAATTCATCATTTAGACACATTATTATTTTTTTCCAATTTATAGGAACCATAAAAAAAGATCCTGTTTGCCAAGGAGTCATGATACCACCAGGATCTGAAAACAATGCATAGCAACCATGGCTAGTTAGGCATATTGAATATTAAACACTCATGGGCTGTTCAGGAATTAATACAGGCAGCATATTAAGATTGTTAAAGTTATAATACCAAAAGTAATTGGAGACACTTTTTTTCAGCTGGTGAGAAAGAGATGGCAAAATGCCACTAAAATAAGATAATATATATGTGCTGATTTATTTTCCTGTAATGAAAAAAAAAACCTTACTGGCAATCATATATTAAATTGGATATTAATTTTCACACAAGAAATTACAAGGAAACAAAGTAACCCAGCAGTGTAATAAACTACAGTGATTTCCATTCTACCAGCAGTGTATGGTAAGTGGACCACATGAAGATAATTAAACTCTCAGTTATTTATCATACCAACTCCCTTTATTTTCACAGTTGCAATTTAAAGTACGATACTTTTTATTGTAGCAAAAAATTAAGAAAGCGATTGAGTTTATTTTGCATTGATCATATGTAATCTTTTGGAAATCCCAAATAAGGATTTTTCTCCAGGGGTAAAATTAACTTACCTTTGCTACCAGTTCGCAAATGTGAGCATGCACGCAGGACCTTCCGTGCATGTGCAGAGCATCAGAGCATAAAAAAACGGGACGTGATGATGTCCGGGTGGGTGGGCACAGCCTCCTGCCATCACCACTTCGCCCAAACCGGATAGAAATGGCTGAATAGCACCACTGATTCTCTCCCTATATTGAGTAGAATCAGGGTCATGACCTTTGTGATTATACTGTGTATATACTTACAAAATGTAAACTCTTAATCAGGATAACAGCAGAATGTAAATGATAAACTTACAGTCATAAAATTCCCTTGCCAAGAAATCTTTATTGATATTTTGGTGCCTGAGGAAGATTACCCCACCCCACCCTCCCCAACAGTAGGGATCTAATGTTTGAACAAAAAGGCTGGGCACTGAGAGTGGAGAATTACTGTAAAGAAGATGGAGAGCAAATCGAAGAGGATGGGAGTATGACAAAAGGAAGCAAAATGACGCAAGGATATGGAATGAGGAAGAAGCTGCACACAAACTGCTCCAGCCTTTTTAAAACAGGCCAGCAATCCCAGGCATTTTGACTGCTTTTAGATTCCCAGTGAGTCTTAAAAGTGCACTAACTGGGAAAAGTTAGTGCAAATTAGCACTAACAGATCAGCAAATCTGATCTGTCTCCCAGAGTTGAAGGCCACTTCGTAGAGCCAAGAATAGAAAGAACCCCAGAGATTGTGGGGTGTGAGTCTCTCCTCTTGAAGTTGGACCTAGGGGTTCAATTGGGCTTGTTCTTGACGTACCTACCTCCCAGCTGCGTCACAACAGCCCTGCCTGCGCTCCTAGAGGCAGTAGCCGGGTTGGCAGTGGAGTTCCCCAGACTAATGGTACTGGGGGACTTTAATCTGCCATCCCTAGGTGAACACTCTGACGGGGCGCAGGAGTTCATGGCTTCCATGACAACAATGGACTTGACCCAAGTAGTTCAGGGACCAACGCATAGAGCAGGACACACACTCGACCTTGTATTTCTCTCGGGGCAGTGGAGACATGATCTTGAATTAAGGGGAATAGAGATCTCGCCCTTGTCATGGTCAGATCACTCCTTGCTTGACTTTAGGATGCTACTCTCCCATTGCAGGGAGGTGGAGCCGATTAAGTGGTTCCGCCCCAGGCGCCTGAAATGACCCGAAAGGATTTCAAAAGGAGCTTGGAGGGATACCTGACTCCCTTGCCCACAGTCTGACAGAGTCCTTAGTCGCGG